TCTTTTTCGAATTCCCAAGACTTTCCAACAATAAAATCACGCCCAGTAATTTTTACGAGTTCTCCATGATTTTTCACCTTTATTTCTTGGTCTATAATGTATCTGTTCTGCCACGGTAAAACGAGCGAAACTATTTTTAAAGCTTGTTAAAATATACAAACTAACAAATTAAATAAATTTCCACACATTTTAGAAAGCAAAACCTTGAACTCTGGACTACGAAAAAAATTATTCGAACACTGGTAAAAACATATCCTTACCGATTTTCCTATCCATCACCTGCTGCGAGTCCGATAACATCTGAACTAGCCACTTGCTAGATCCCGCCTCGCTCATAGAACTGCTGCCGGACTCCAGCCTGTTATTGATGGCCTTCACTTTCTCGTTCACCTGCTTCTCCACGTAGTTCTGCAACAGCTGCTGCAAGTCTTCTTTCTTATTCGTCGACGGAGCTTGGCCGGGGGAGATAGCAAAGGGAACGACGTTGTTAACGGGCGACACGTTGCTGTTGGAATCGGCGCGTTCCACTCTCGTTCCTTCACTGGCCAACACGCAGGTGAAGTGCAGGGGCTCCGTTTCAATCAGGCCCCTTATTATTTTCTGAGAGGCGACGTTTTTGTATTTCAGCTTAGGCTCTGTAGTCGAGAGAACGTCCTTAGGACAAATGCTCTCTTTGTTGAAGGAGTAGTTCGTGAAACACTCCGCGTTTTGAGCGGCCGGGTCCGAGACGGCGTTCGGGTTGGACGTGAGAAGGTAGGTAGAAGAACCGCCTCCCCTCACATAGGGCGGTGGTTCGATGTCGAACAATTCAGGTTCTAATGGCGTGCCGTACAATCCGTATCGTCCGCGTAATAGCAGGTGGTAGGGATTCGTTCTTTTCTCGAGTTCGGTTGATATTTTGCTCAACAGGGAAATGCACTTCGTCGATATTAATTTTTCCTTATCCTTGGTCGAGACTTTTAAAAGCAGTGCGAAGATCCACTGGAGTCCGGAAGCTGACTTTACATGGTTTATGGAGTCTAGTACGTTGAACAGTGAATTTAAGATGGACGAGGAAAATTTCTCTCCGCAAGGGGGGCTTATGTTACTCGCACCGCTGAAAAGAACAAAAAAATAATAAATAGATAAATAAACCATTTGGTTAATATGTGAACAAAATTAAATGTTACATCTTAAAAACAAAAGTAATAAACAAAGCTTGTTAAAGAAAAAATTGAAAGAATTGTTTGATATTTTTATTTTTCAATCATTTTTATGATAAACAAATCAAGGTACTGAGATGCGGTTTTCGCGAAACTACTTTTTTCCTATCTCTTCGGGAAATAGGAGAAACCCACCAAAAGTAACAAATTTGGCCCACTCTGCACAATTAATGATTTTTTTGAAACACTGTATATAAAAGCCGAGCTTGAACTTTGCAACTTTGCAGATGGAAATGTTTACTTATAAAACAAGCTGCTATCAAATTCAGGGGAAAATTTTGTTATATTTAATCCTTATACAGCCCATTTCCTAAAAAACGCTGCAAGCCATAACTCAGTCATTTATAATCTGATTTTAAAAACAAAAAAATTATATTAAATGGCACTAAATACACTATAGAGTGAGCTTATTGGGACGTATTTATTATTATTTTATTTTGAAAAGCGATAGTCAACTTTTTTTTTTCAAATGGCAATATATGCTTATTTTTTATTTATTATGCAGAATTATATTCTGAATTCAATGATGTATATAAAGTATACTTTTGTGGAACATGTTTTATAGAAATAGCATGAAAATATCAGTCAATACCGCATTATTAGCGCCTGGTCGCTTAATTGACAACTAACATATTTTGACTAATCATGTATGCCTGGAAAACAAAAAATAAAACAAAGTAAATGTCATTTTAGCGTTCGTGTCTCAGTTTTTTACGCATTATACTCTTTTTGTGCGATTGATAGTAGGTTATAAGCTTAACAGCGTAAAATATGAGTAATGATCAATTGACGGACATGATTCAGGTACACTTTTGGTGTAATAAAAATCGTGGCGCAGGAGTCCGCCTTTACAGATAACTATTTCCTCACAGAGAAGTTCCAGAACCACGTAGATTTGTAAGACTTGAAGAAAATTTGAGTAACTATGGTGCTTTTAAGAAATCAAAGTGAAAAGAAGGCCAATTTAATGAAAATATCGAGTTCAATGTTCTTCTTAATGTTGAAGAAAACCCAAGAACTTCCATTCGGGAAAATTCCAATAATAATAGAGCATCAAAGAGAACTGTACATGCAGTATTGAAAAAGCACAAATTCAAGCCATACGTTCCTCAAAAAGTACAGGCATTAGAGGAAAACGATAGAGAACGACGGCTACAACTTGTATCTTTAGTGTTTTGTGTTTGTTGTTCTTCGTTTAATGTGTTTTGTGTTTAATTAATGTTATTTTGTGTTGAACTTTGTATAATGGTTAATGTATTTAATTAAATTGTTTTTCTTTTAATCGATATTCATTGTATTCATATTATTATTATATTATTATTATTATTGTTTCATTTTTTTAACTACAAAATTGTCTTTTGAGTTTAATTTGCTTTGCTGTATTATTTTTTGTTTTCCATGGCACAGATGATTAGTTAAAATACATTTGTCATGAATTAGTAGCCAGATGTCGAATGCGGTATCGACTAATATCTTGCCATCTTTTCTGTAAAAAATGCTTTATAAAAGTAAAGTTCATGTTCATATACATCGTTGGATTCAGGAAATAAATCTGCACGATAATAAATAACAACTATATTGCCATTTGAAAAAAAAAGTTGACTATCGCTTTTCAAAAAAAAAAATTGCAAATGAGCTCTAATAGGCTTGCTTTATAGTGTATATAGAGCCATTTCATTTAATTTTTTGTTTTTTAAAATCAGACCATAAATAACAGAGTTATGGCTTGTGGCGTTTTTTAGGAGACATCCTGTATATTAAAAGCTGTAGGTTAATCTCGCTCCTACACTCAGCCACGAAAAGAGGCGACATATCAAAGGCTTTCCTCGCAAGCCTTTATCCCAACGTCGTATTCTGAACGCAATCTGTTCACACCTTGACATTTTTCAGTGCGAGAGAAATACACGAAGTATATCTGATATTTAGATGGAGATGGACACAAACATCAGTGACGGCGTCAAAATAAATTTTGTCATTTGACGTGTTTTCCTGGCCGATCGAGCCACGGCGAGTTGTTATTTTGCCGTTGGGCACCGGTTTCAATCTTTTAGAGATGTTACTTTGACGATAAAGCTTGATTTGAAATTTTCAATTTTCTGTTTACATTCGCGGAGATCCAAGGTTTCAAATAGCACGTGTAGGCTCCACCCAGCGCTACATTGCCGTAGTTTATTTTATAATCTCGCGACTGCGAAGTTGAAAAGCGGGCGGGTCGCATTTTCTGAAGGCCCGAGAGAAAGGTCAAGTCTGCGTCAGCGGACTTGCCTACCTTTATAGTGTGAAAATAAATCAAATATAAAAAATTTGTTTTGACGAAAATATTAACGTTTTTCAGAAAAAAGTCTGTTGTGTTTGTGCTTCCAATCACCATTCTCAGGGTTGATAGGTGGTATTTACAAATTGAGTTATGACCTCTCAAAGAACGATCCCCGTATTGAGTATTTCAAAGTTTAGTTCGCCACAAAAATATTGAAAATAAGGTTTTTCCACTAAACCATCATCTTCGAAAGCTCCAATCAATGTCAAAGGACAAAATAAGGGTCCACCATGACCTAAATGGCACATGCACAAAAACAAAATTTGTTTACGTTTCGGACATATACTTTGGGCACAGAAAGGACCCGGGGGTGCTACGTCTAAAATGTATTCTATTGATTTGTTTAACTGTTAAAATATCAGTAATAACTTCAAACGGGAGCTACAATATTAAAAATTATTTGTTTTTCTCTATGAATCGATCAGTTTTCATTAAAAACAGCATCACCTTTTGGTTATGTTAGTGAATAATACAATTACCGCAAACTATATACGAGTATAATTAACTTGTTGTTGCAAACAATAAATACATAAATAAATCTGTTAATTAAACGATTTGTATACGTACTTGCAGCAGGTCAAAATAAGTCTCATACATTTATGAGCGATACTCCTTCCTCCCAACAACACGGAGTGGTGCAAGAGTTCCGTCAAATGCTCGTCGATCATATTAACAAAGTCAAGCTGCTGGTTGGGAGCCGTCCCGTTGTTACTCCTGTTCCTGGTGAGTCTCACCGAAGCTATCCAATCGAGTATGTCGAGGACGAGGCCTATCACTTCCTTACTGGTGCTGCTGATAGCCGTGGCGATGAGCGACGGAATAAAAACGTTAGAATCCAACATCAGGTTTCTTTGGGTTCGTTCGTGCGGGATATCAGTGTGCTTCGTACCGTACAGGGTCAGACTTAACTCGTGTATGACGTCGCAACCCATGTAGTAATCCGCCTTCTCTATGGACGACATGGTGGACTTGTCGACGTTAGGGCTGGAGGTCTTATTCTCAAACTTCCTATTCTTACTGCCGTTCTTGTTCATGACGTCTTTGGAATAAACCGCCCTGATGTGGAGGAGGAGGTTCCTGATTTTTGATTTATACAATTTCGGACTAGTCAGGGTTATCGTCCCGCTTTGATCCGTCAGGTCCAAGTGGGAAGCTATGTTTATGGGGCCCGCTAGGATGTCAGCGTTGTGAGCTCGTAGGTATTCTTGAGATATGACGGGGTTGTCAACCCACTGCAGCATATCGATCGTAACCGTTTCATCCACCGAGAAGCGAACGTCCCGGTTGTGGCCTATACCGCTTTTATTCTGTCTCAACAATGTGACTTCCACGTGAGGCAAAGTCGTAGCAGGCTGTAGAGTGAAATGTACGTCAACGTGGTCCAGCAGTGTAGCCGTCGGTAGAGTTATTTCAAAGATATGTTCGTCCCAAGTCGTGGTGTCCGTCTGCAACCGCCACGTTTTCGTGTGCTGTTCCTTCTCGTTTTTTAATATCTGGGGCTGCCTCCTCTGTCTCTGAGCTTGTTGAAATTCGCTCCAACACGGTGGAACGACCACGCAGTATGAGGTTTTTAGCGGTTCGAAATTGCACAGTTGTTTGAAGTTCTTCAAGTCGTCCAGTGGTATTATGTCGGGAGGGTCTTGGAAGCACTTGGTGACTTCCATGTTGTCCAGGGAGTCTAGTTGTTGAGAAATCGCCACGGACGTGTCCACGTTTAGACCGAACATGTCCTCTTCCTCGTGGTCGTCGCTCGATTCATTGTCGGTGTCGTATAAGGCGAAGAAGTGAAGGGAACCGTTTTCTGTCGAGGCGCACAGCCTGTCTAGACCTAGAAATTAATGGAATTGGTTAACCTAAAAACAATCATTTTCGGCTGATTTGAAAATGTACAAGTTATAATGAAGATAACTTATCAATTCCAAAACTGCTTGCCGTGTAATAAAAAATCATCACACAAGTTTAAATTTAAATAAAATTACTTTACAACCAAGATTATAATACACAAAATCTTGTCAACAAAGTGTTTGGTTATTTCTTATCTTCAAAAAAAATGTACAAAAAAATTATCTATCAGAAAAAGTATTACTTCTCTATGTGGCTTTACTACCAACATTAACACTAAACTAAATCTCTAGAAATTATTTTCATGACTGCCAAAAAAAGTTAATAATATACAGGGAGTCCAGTAAAGAAGGTGTTATTATTTAAAAGCATAAAAATATACTGATTTAGATCAAGTTACCTTACAATTATACATGTGTAATAGGGGTACATACGACAAATAGTTGGGTGACGCAATTATTTTTTAATTAAAATAGAAGTTCCCAAATTTCTTTTTTTTTGTGTACCACATTTTCAAGAAAAATTTGCATACGGTTGAACTAAAGCGAACGTAAATAAAAAGTATTAATTTGTTGTCGGTCAATCTTTCTGGAATTTCAACATTAGATGTGTTTTATTCGTTTGAGAATATTTTCAATAAATAAACATTTTAGAGGTATACATTTCTACACTTTTATTAACTGTTACATTAAAAAAGAAATTGTTACTTTTGTTTATTTCCATAACAGATTATTTCTAAATCTGAAACTGTCAAACTCATAACAAATTTTAGGTTAATTAGTTCAAATGTATCACAAAACAGCTTGCTGTGACAAACATACATCAATAACACCATTTCATGTAAAAAAATTAGCTTGTCTTTAGAGTTTAAAATCATAACGATTGAATTATGGAATAATATTTTTTTAATTTTCGTTAGTTTCGAAAGATAAATTACATTACATAACATACGTTAGTTGGATTATTTCTAGATTTGTGTTTGATAAGTTCAATTGGACATGATGTATGATGATGATGTATGAAAGAACAGAAATGAAATTGTCAAATTCAATAACGAATTTTAGGTTAATTAGTTCAAATGTATCACAATTACACAGCTTGCTGTGGCAAATATACTATTATTTCACATGGAAACATTAACTTGTGTCATTGGACTTTAAAATCGTAACATTTGGATTATGGAATAACATTTTTATAAATTGTCGCTAGAATCCGAAGTCGTTACGTAACGATGTCATCTGCTAATGATAAATTAAGGAATGAGTTTGTAAATTAATGGTTATGCAAAATTTCTTGATGTTAAATTGAAATTTACTGGTAACTTTGAAATAAGAAAATGTCTAACATAATTTTTTTAGTCTACCTTTATTTTTGCTTTTAGAACTACGACTAAAACCAAATTTGGGTCAAATCAAAATAATCGCTTTGCAGGTAATTACTTCATACTAAACTATCAAGATGTTTCAAATGAATATAACTGAGATCTAAGGATGGCTCAATGAATAGTGAAACACATTGTATATTAAAAAAATATTTTACTTACTGTTGCAATAGGCGGCAGATACGAACTTATCGTCGGAAATCTCGGCATAGCAAATGGTCTTCAAGGTCGACAGATCCACTACCCTCACAGCGCCATCTACACAAACCAAAACAACGTATCCCTCAACGTCGCTGATGGACGAATGTTTGGAAAAATTCCCGATTTTTTCAACTGTCGGCAACAAGCTGATCTCGATGGGTTTCTCGAAACTCGCCAGTTCCCTAACGGCCGCAGGCTCCGCCCTTATCTTCACCATCCTATCCGAACTGTCCATGGGATACAAAAGTAAAAAACTCTTAAAGCTAAAGAGTCCCCTGAGTACGACAAGGACGTGCATCTCGTCCGGAGTCGCTAGGACATCCACTATTTCCAGGTCGCTGTAGTCCCTGCACTGCTCCGGCAAGTTGATGCACTGCACGGCACGCGAGTAGTTCAACTTTTTGGTCGACTGGTTGTTCTTCAACTCCGTAATGTGATCTGAGATGCTCAAATCGCTGCTCTCCGAACTATTCAGCTGGCCGTTGGTCAGCGGGTGGAGGTTGTAGTTGCTGGAGGACGAATCGGTTTTGGTGCTGTTGAACTCGTCAAATGTTATGGCCCGAGGGCCCGTATGGGATTTTTTCAAGTTGACGGCAGTGGGTGGTAGGAAAACTTCGTCGCTCTCTCCCGGTATTAAAGTTTTGTAAAAAGACGACAGCTGTTTCATCAAATTTAAGTTGTAAGAAGGTAATTCTTCCGATTCTAATTCGGTGGGGTCGAAGTTGTCGAGCATGCTCAGTATTATCTTTTCGTCTTTCTCGGATATGTTGGGTTTCTTCAGGGGAATGATGGGTACGGAATTGGTCTCGAATTTTATTTCGTTTTCTGCTTCTTCCTGATCCTTGCTGTACATGAAGTCGTAGACCACTAGGTAGAGCCTGCTGAGACCCTGTTCCAATCCCACGAAATGTATGTCGTTTTCATTGGTGTCGCTGGATGTTCTCTGCTGCGCCCCCATTATGTTCTCGGGGTGGCATTTCAGTTTTAGCCCGCAAACGATTGTAGGCCTTTGTGATTTTGTGCCGCCATTTACGTTTCCGCTTTGCGATTTGCTACTCAGTATGCACAAGGACGTTATTTTCTTTTCCACTGGGTACTTCCCTAGGAGAGAATATTTAAATTTAGTCAAATTAGAAGGAACAATCTTGGTTACGATCTCAAAATTAAAAAATGTTTCTTAAAAGCGTCCATTCAAATTAATTATTTACTAGCAGCGTCAGAATTAAAAGCAAAAGTGTACAAAATTGCGCTTTTAATGCTTTAATGACAGTCTTTTATTATGTTTATCCAAATGTGGTTCGCAAAGTTTGGGTCACAACCCCGTGGGGTTTCTCAAATTCAGTTCATTCTTCAACTTTAACTTAGTTTTGAGGTTCTGTAAACTACCTATTATTTATTTTGGCCGAGTTAAAAGTATATCAGGGGCATCAAAATGACTGCAATATTGCAGTTTCGAAAATTATTTTCTGCGACATCACAAAATTTATTTGCCACATTTTTCCATGTTAGAAATCTTTTAAAAAATGTTAAAACAGGAATTTTGTCATATTCTTAATATTACTATAGAAATTAACCAAATTTTTGCACATGCGCTTATTCACTTTTAATTTATATAATAAATTACTTACTATCCTCATTTCCGGTCCAAAATCCGGGGGTTCCAAAATCCTGTGTGAATTTCTCCAAAATATGCGAATCGAACTGAGTCACGTAAAAGGAATGCGTCCTCTTGACCTTACCGGCAACGTCGAACACCGATATCAGGCCGTCCGACGTCGCCGTAGGTATTAAATTCGGTATAGTGCTGTTTCCCAATACTTTTACGTTGAGACCTCTATAAGTCGCATCGATCGCTGGGCTGGTCGCATAAGTCACCGATAATGGTACATTTTGAGTGTATTCTCCGATAACAAAGGGGCAGTTTGGGGAATGGCGTTCGTGTTCGCTCCAGGGTTCGTCGGTCAGTTCCCAACAAACCAGGCATACCGTACAGGTGAAACACATTGCACGATCGTCGCCGGACGAGTTTGGCTGGTGGTAGAAGCCGGCTTGAGCCATTTGGTCGGGAAGAGCCCATCTAATTACAAATAATTGTAACGATAAATAATAAATACGAAACATACGTCACTCCCACTTACTTGTAGTCCATGTGAGGCCAATGGGAAAAAGTTTCTCGTCTTCTGTATTCACTAGCCATTGATTTTCTATCGGTTGCGCTAACGGGTTCTCCCAGCAATTCGCTCAGCCTCTCTTGTACCGCAGATGCCACTCCCAATTCGGGTGTGTGTTGATTTTTTGCTAGTAGGTCAGCAACGGTATTCGCCGCGGCAGCGCGCAGGTCGTCCAAGGGTAAATCCAGACATACGGTATTCCACTGAAATTATTAAGTTACACAATTTATTACAATTTTTATTGCACATCATAGAGTATGAAATTCAATTTAAATATTTAATATCAGTCATTAAAAAATCTCTTTATCAGAAATATCAAGCATATCAATTTAGTCACGTTTTCTAAAGAAATATCAGAAGTAAGAAATCATTATTTCCAATTTATTAAATTTACTCTCAATAATTCAATAATATAAAATGCTGACTCATTCTCAATTACTGGGAATCCCACAAAACTTAAGTAGTATATTTCTAAACTACGATATCACAAAAAAATTATAAGTGAAAGAAATTTAACTGAAATAATTATTTAACATTTGCAACTGATTTTTGATGCTATACAATGTACTACATTTCAATAAGTTTTTGTATTGTATCTGTATTAAACAAGTGGAGCATATGTATATCGATATACCTCGACTATAAATATACTTACTTTTTGGGCCTTAATGCCTTTTTTATACTGTTTCTGGGCGTTGGAAATGACATTGGTGAGTTCATTTATAATTTGTTCAGTGCCATTTAAATTTGCAGTAGATAGGCTTTGTTTTAGAATGATAGCCTGAAAAATAAAATCTCTCATTAAATAGCCACAATGGGTCATTTTATGAATTACTTCCGAAAGAGGCAGTTCTAGCTTCACTTCTTCTTTACCATCACTAATAGTCTTTTGTAGAATACTGTCAAGTAATAAAACCCCATTATAATCCGATCTAACTCCTAAGGCCTGGCCATCAGAAAACAATATCCTGTCCACTATGGGAATGTATTTACACTTAACTTCATTCTGATTTATAGCTGAAAAAAGTAAGATTGGTTGATTAAATCATTGGATTATGTACTAATTTACAGGGAAAGATAAATATTTACCTGAAAGATAACTGGACTGGAGAATGACACCTGAATTTACGTCAAGTACACGAACCACGCCACTTTTAGTACAAATTAAAATAACGTTAAGGGATGGGTGGTAAACTATTTCTTTTACATCCGTGTCCACATTTAAATAACCATCTTCATTTAACATCCACTGATCCTCAGCCATTTTGCTAAATACATCTTGCGCCATCGAAAGACAACATTTGTCATTTGTCTAAAAAAAATATGATAAGTGGTATGTTGGCACTACTGATTTCTAAAATATAGCAGTATTCAAATTTTGTATTAATAATTTCGATTACGAACGTTTTCAAACGGGGTTACTATAATATAATTTTGCAGAGAAATGAGAAACATTTCGAAATGGGGTTGACTTTTTAATAGTTTTACGCAGTTTTTGAATGGAAAGAAAAAGCCAAATATTGAAATTATGAAATTATATAAAATACGACAGATCAATATCTTCTTCTGCTTCTAACCCCATGTACATATTTTTTTGCCTCAACTCCATTTCTAACTTTAGCACATATCTTCACAAAGGTCAATCAAAATAGAAGAAGAATTAACTCCGTAAAAGTACAAGAGAACTATTATCTGGGGTTGAAGTCACAGTATACTAAGTATGCTGTGGTTGAAGTCATAGATAATATATATGGACTATATTGTAATTGTATTATGTTTGTGGACTATATGGTAAAAGTCTTAAAAGTGAAAAAGAAGACCCTAACCTAAGTTTATTAAATTATTAACAATATATATTATGGCTTCATATCTAACAAATGTTACAAAAACCTTTCAAAAGTTAACATTAACTTCAAGATTAAGAGTTCCACCAATATTAATTAAAGAACTAGACCAGGATTTACCGAAAAATAAGACATTAATCTACAATGCTTCAAGGAACACAAATTTCTTTAACAAATGTACTGAAATTAGAGATATCTTGTGAAAGTGTTTAATGCATTTTATCTTTCTAGTACCTGCTCAGGACCTATGGAAAGGTATTACCTCTGTGAGTAATGCAGGAAAGAAGAGAGGACGTGGAAAAAATGTATCGAAGTCTAAAATTAAAGATTTGAATCGTGGGCAAATTATTGGAGTTGGTATGTAGGATCGTTTTTATTGTGAATTATGAGTTGTTAACACCCTTTAAATCACTTTTAGGTAAAGCTAATATGGTTTGGCCTGGTCTGTCGGCACCTATAATTAGAGGAAAGGAATTGGTAGAACAACAAAAACTACCCGAGGATCCCGAAAGAGAAAAGAAGTTAATTCAACTAAGAGATCAAATGGGAACTTTTAAATTTCCCAAACTAAGTCCCATTGAAAGAGGATGGTCAGGCTCAAAAATGCCAGGACGAAGTATAGGACCGCCAGATCCAGTCGGCGAAGGTAAGTGGAGATACTTTTGTAAAATTTCGTATTACATTATCAATAATTTTAGATACTTTTGATGGTTTTGACACAAAAGTTTTGGAACTAAAAATGGTTTTTAACATGAAAGGAAATTTTGGCCGAAAAAGGAGAATGTCCTGTCTGGTTATAACAGGAAATAAAAATGGACTAGCTGGTTTCGCAATGGGTAAAGCTCAGGAAGCAAAAACAGCTCTAAGGAAAGCAAAAAACAGATCGGGTCAAAAATTGATGCACATCAAGTTGTTTAGAAATCACACCGGTAAACAAAAAAAGTTGCAAAACGTTTTCAATTTGCTTCGATTCGATATTTTCTTTTAGTGTGTCACGATTTTTTCACACAATTTGGTCTAACCAAGATATACGTTTCCCAAAAACCGGAAGGCTACGGTTTAGTTTGCCACAGGGCTATTAAAACTATGTGTGAGGTTATTGGTATTAAAAATTTACATGCAAAGATTGAAGGATCAACTAATGTTAACCATATTATGAAAGCGTTTTTCCTTGGGCTGATTAGACAGGTAAATAATATTGGTGCAGACCCTTCATAAATGATTACAAGCCACGTTACCAGTAATTTTGTTTCGAACCGTAATCTTATTTCCTTTGCGTTGGCAAATAAATTTTGGTAAAATTAAAAATTATTAAAACAATAAATAAGACCAAGATTACATTAAAACACAATATTCTGTTTCTGATTTGGTGTAAATGAGTTATTGCATTATCTCGACAGTAAATGTAACAGTTTGTCACTGTTCATTATAAACGAATAATTGATATTGGTGATGCAAAGATTTAGGGATTTTTAGTCGACAGTACCAGCCATGCAATGTTGGTTGCCTAAGCTCGGCGGCTATGTGGCTCGTAATCATTTATGAAGGGACTGTATATATTTCGTTAAAGAACTAACGATCCGTTTATATATGTCAGAAGTCACCTGAAGAAATAGCTGAAGAGAAAAAGCTTCACTTAGTGGAAATATGCAAAGAAAACAACTACTTTCCAAAGGTAATCGCTTCTCCAAAGGAATGTCGTAAAGCGGAGGAGATACCCAAAGATGAATTATTGGATTTTACGCAGTACTGCTATGATGGAAGGGTAGTACTCAAAAAGAAAAAGCCACCGCCGTTTTACACGAAACTCAAATCTTACCAAATTTATTTGAAGAAACAGGAAAAATTAAGAAATCAAGCTGGCGTTAGGCTTAATCTCATTGCTGAATATGGAGAAATTAGAAGTTTTTTGGGAGATAAGTATCCTGAATGTAGGCAGTACAGGCTGCCAAAGGAAGAAGAGGGAGAAAATGCTTGATATGTACATACAGAATATTTTAATTTTGTTTATTAAAATAGTGTTTTTTGAAAATGTTTCTTTTTTAAATAAATAATAAAACTTCATTTTTTGTTGTTTTATTCATCCCCTTATGAAACCTTTTGAAAAAACGGAAACATTATTATTTTATATATTTAAGCATAACTTAACATTCATCTAACCAACGGAATAAAATGATTAATAAGTATGCAAAAAAAATTTAATTTCAAATTTTATTAGCGCATCCGTATAGCATGGGAATTAACACGAGTGTAAGATGGAACATATAACTACTCATTAGTTAATTGGTCGCATAGAAATTTAAATCTAGCTTGCGTTTTTTGATTGGTCGTAAAGCAATTCTTTATTCCTATTCCGTTTCGCTTTCCGTGTCTTGTAGGCATGCTCTTACTACCATTAGGTAATCGATGACAAACCACCATCTATACACAACCTGTTAACGAACGTGTATATTGTGTTGCCTAATAATAGTTTCTTATTTGAAATTTGAAACTCGACTAACTGTCTAACTTGACAAGTGACAATTTAAAATTCAAATTTGAAAAGTTTTTTTACCCGATTATTTAAATTTTTACGTAAATATATTTAGACAAAAACAAGTTTATTCCTAGATTACTGAAGTATGAAAAATGGCATAACTAAATCTAGAAGTTTGCGTAAATTAAATGCAGGATTTAGAGATAATTAAAATTATATGCAAATTTCGTGCTTGTCAAATAGTGAGGTCGATTTTTCGTGCCGTATGGCAAACGTATCTCCGTCTTGTGAAAGTTCTGCGGGTTGTGAATGCTGAATGCAACTGCTCACTCCGTGTTTGCACAGCACTCGTAAATGTTTTAGATGCTTTATTACGAAATCTCAAATTCAATATCGGAACCTGGGGAACCTTTTAAAACGGATCACAATGGAGACGATAACTGCCGTTTGGTATTATTTTAATTCGATGGCCATGGAGGAGTTTTACTAATAAGAGTAAAAATAATGAAAATTGTTATCTCTTTATTTATAAATGAACTCAAAGTAAAGAAGTAAAGAAGTTATTGTTAATAAACAATAAATAGGTGTAAAATAACAACTTCTCCATTTTAAAAGAATTCTGTACTCTAAAATACTTTCATATAGTTTTAAGTTTTAACTGGTTTATCTAATCCGTTTTAATTTGTAATTATTTTTTGAAAAAATTGGATTATATTCAATATAACCTGTTAGTTTTACCAGATTATTAGGTTCTCTGAAAAATTGACTCCTAACAGAAAATCCTTCTCATCTTCTTCATGCTAATTCACGTGAAGCTATGAAAAATTTTCCCTTTTAATCGTTTGGAGTAGGTATCTTCATCCATTTACATGTTTCTGGTAATAAATTTTGAACTTCTTTTCGAGTTACTGATTGATATTGTTTAGTGAAACGAGACATTTTAAAACACTACACAACAATTTCGACAAAAGTTCACGTTATCTAAAGAATTAATGTCAACAGGACAACAATAACAAATGAGCACGACTGGTATGGAAACAATTAACGTCAACATGGCAACAGTTACAAATGAGCACGAGTGGCATGGTGGAAACAATTATTAACGTCAACATGACAACAATAACAAATGAGCACGACGGGCATGGAAACAATTAACGTCACCATGACAACGATAAAAATGGGTACATACGACTGGCATGACTTTCTTTACATTTTGATTTCTATGACTCGATTTCAATACTTATGCATGTTTCTTTTCAAGCTCTACTGATGTAAATGTATAAAATATTCTTAAATTTGGACGAAAAAAATTCTCCTTCGATATAGGTACGTTGTCATGTTGCACCCTAAATAACTCTTATCAAAATATTGCGTAGGAGTTACGAACGACATCTCGGGAACATGGTTCACAAGGTACAATCAAAACTAACCAGAAAATAAAACATAACGAGCTTTTCGGGGGTACAAAGCATTATTACTAAATGTAGCGAACATTTTTGCGTCCACTTAAGCACAGCCAGGGGAACAACCGAATTACCGCCCGGTTTCATTAAATATCTGCCCTAAACTGTCCTGGACCGCTGTAAAAATCGTACCTAGCTGGTGAAAGTGCCAGTACCTACTCCACTTCCACAACAAAATACCTACCCAACTACTGAACTAACGAAACGATTACGTTTTCGACTCGGTGGGCACGAATGGCGTTAAAAGCCCCCATTGTTGGCGTATCCGTAACAAAACTAATCGGATGGGACAGCCCATGTGTAAATAGTTCGTAATAGATTTTTAGATCATCTTTCGATAAAAGTGGCATAGCATGTAGAGTCGAAGAAAGGGCGGAGATATCTAATTCGATGCCCGTTTAATCCGAGACACTTCTGAATTGATCTCGTAGGGAGATTAAGCCGCCTAATATAGCAGAGATCGCACCTACAGATATTGCAGAGGAGATGTGTATTTCGATGGTTGTTAATTTGTTATCGAAATTATGTCTTAATTCGAGAACTCCTACCGGTTTTTGGAAAAAAACTAATAGCAGGGCCCGAAAGCGCAAGTCGTTTTCCATGTTCTGTGAAAATCCCAAGTCGGTATATTCTACAGTTTTTAAGAAAAAAATTATTATGAGACAATGCGAAAATTCGTTTCTGATGTTACGCTTTTATTTAAAGGCTCCTACAGATTTTTGGAGAAAAACTCAGCAAAGCTCGAAGCCTTTTGGCAAATATTTCGAAAAATTGATGTACTTACTATATTTTCGATCTTTAAAGTTATAAGTGGTGAAAAAGGTTTACATATTCCTTAAATTGGGCATTTGCTGCTTCATATAAATATAAAATTATGGCCATCGTTTCTGAACAGAAACGTTTCAAACTTCCTCCATACAGGCTGTCTTACGATGAGCCCATTAGAATATTTCAGAGATTACTTCGAATTCAATTTTGAAAATGAAGGCTTTGGGGTTTTCGGGGGCGCTCTCTTTAAATAAAATAATGCCATTGTTGTAGCACTTCCGGCTATACCGGAAGTCACCATCTACTTGCTTATTTTAAATGAAACACCCTATATATTTTTGCATGTTTGCGTTTAGTGGGACTTTTATCAAACTTCCCTATATCTATCTTTAATGGTCTTCGAGATATTTCACTACTTTTAAAATTCGGCTGAAAAATTAAAATCGGACCACCTCCAACGCATCCAGAAATTTTGCAAAATAGTGCACTAAAAAATTCAAATTGCAATTCTGCCAAAACTAATAGTTTGACAGCGCCTGCTTTGTCCACACTTAAAGTACATATAATTCACTACTTTTGTGCACGGGGGCAGCTCTACAACTTAAAATGAATTAAAAAAAAAACGCAAAATTTTCCGATTTTTCTGGGTTTTCTTCGTTTCTAATTATCCGATCGGATCTACCGACCTCTCGTTTTATTCGTATTTCGATTCTCTAAAAATTGTCTTCATATTGTTCCGTTAGTTTAGGTTTTATAAGCAAAAAAAACTAAAAAAATGCGTTTTTTTGCATTATTATTATTATTTCTTTTAATTTTTCTGTTATTGACTGTGAAATTTCTAGCAAACTTAAAAGCAAAACAATCTATTGTTTGTCATAAGTAATTGCTGTTTAGTCTGACAGTGGTAGTTAAATATTGATTTGTAAATAATGGAAAAACAAATGCTGATACTTAATTTAGTATTTATTCATGAGTAGTGCAATGCGTTTGTAAATAAATCATGATGAATTATCTTGATTTGATGTTATTGTTTTAAAATTCTTCTAAACTTTCTGCTATTGGTGGTAAATTGAGATATCTTTCACTAAAAACTCTACATGTTCTATTTATGAATAATTCCATCCCAACTAGCACAAACAGTAACAAAAACTAATGTTAAAGTTATTATAACCTCTAATTGGTATTCGTGTAGAGAATAAAACTATAAATGCCTCATTGAACGAGGAAATACTTTGTCGTCTTTAAATATAGTAACTGGAATGTTAAAAATACTTTAAATATGTTATATAAAGTAAGTAAAATCATAGACCCTCACAAAGTCGCATGCTCTAATATTTAACCTGAAAATTGCGTTTAAATTGACTTCTACCTTAAAGTCGCTATTAAATAGTAGCGGCAACTATGGGTTTTACTAAAATGCGTCACCAAAGTAAAAATCCTAATAGACTGAAAGTCTACAGTAACTGCGACTTAGCCGGGTGGATATAATTTGGTTTTAAAGTTAGTAACACATTAGAAACATTAATCGTAACTTATTTGTAAATTTAACTATAGAAGAACACAGCAAAGTAGCAGTAACTTAGTAATTTTTTTCCTTCTGACTATAAAGTTGCCAAAACTGCAAGAAATTACTTTGCAGTTTGTGGGACTATTAAAGTACCAACAAAATTTTTAGGTTAGAAACATTGTTTTGTTGTGTGAGCAACTGTTTGTTCTTTAGTGTTATTTTGTGACTGAAAATATGCCTAAACATACAGAAAAAAAA